ATGGCAATATAAAAGAGCAGGGTCAATGGAGGTATCATACAGTATAGGCCATGAGAGACCCTGAAGAAGAAAGTATCGAACAGAAACAAAAATTAAACCATTTTGACATTTATTGAAATATAGGATCAAAGTCTTGCATGTAAAATTTGGGCATGTAAAGACTTTTCTCTAGCTCTAAGACTTATAACTGATGATTTGATTTAATATCTTTATCCCAATTTGTCGAAATCCTTTGGACATAGTGCATCAATTATTTTATAGTTTTGATACAAGGAATTCATTCATTGTACTTGTAACTGAGTTTTCTGGTGCGACACTGTTTTATCGGCTTCAAAACTAAGTTTGTGATTTCCAAACCAGATTAATGAGATAATGTAATATCTTTTAACATCGGTGACTATTTAATCCATTCTTTTACATCTCAGAAGTATTTTTATTATTACAGGGAAAATATGCATTGTACATATCTCTGTATCTGTAATAAACAGGATTATAGAAATTTTCCATATAATACAACACAATCTTAGCAACTGAAGGCAAATATTTTATCAAGGGTGTGATCTATTTATCAATATGGTTTTCAGCATCTTGCTCTACCTGTAATGACTTGCTCCAAGTTCCAATATTTAAATTTAAATTTTGCAAACATGGTTATAAAATTCTTTAAAGCCAAATAGTTTAGGCACAAAATGCTTATATATTTCCTATCATTTGTAAAGTGTACACTGAATGAGATGTGGAATGTTAGAATTAAAGTATTAAATATGTTTTCGACTTATGTATGCTTATGCAGACAAATTTGAATTCAACTAGGGAAGGTAAATGTCATACTTATTGGATTTGCAATCTAATGCAAGAGTATAAATATCCAAGACAAATTTGACAATTTTAATGAAGGGTATAAGTAACCCAGGAAGAATTGGACAGGTAAACATCACTTGTTGGGTTTTATTCTAATGTTGGGATGTAATATCCAAGAAGAGTTGAACCAATGTCCAATACCTATTGGGTTTTCTTTCTTATGAAAAAAAATTTGAGTAACCCAAGAAGAATGTCCAATACCTTTTAGTTTATATACTATTGAAGGGATGAAGATATCCAAGAGGAATTGGACAGGTGTCCATTACATGTTGGGTAGTATTATGATGAGGGGATTCTCAAGAAACCCAAGAATTAGACAAGTGTCCATTGCCTGTTGGGTGGGATGTAGATATCCAAGAGGAGTTGGACGGATGTCCATTACCTGTTGGATGGTATTCTGATGAAACAATTCAAGAAACCCAAGAAGAATTGGACAAGTGTCCATTACCTGTTGGGTGAGATGTAGATATCCAAGAGGAGTTGGACAGGTGTCCATTACCTGTTGGGTGGTATTCTGATGAAACAATTCAAGAAACCCAAGAAGAATTGGACAAGTGTCCATTACCTGTTGGGTGGTATTCTGATGTAACTATTCAAGAAACCCAAGAAAAATTTGACAAGTGTCCATTACCTGTTGGATGGGATGTAGATATCCAAGAGGAGTTGGACAGGTGTCCATTACCTGTTGGGTTGTATTTTGATGAGCAGATTCAAGAAACCCAAGAAGAATTGGACAAGTGTCCATTATCTGTTGGGTGGGATGTAGATATCCAAGAGGAGTTGGACAGATGTCCATTACCTTTTGGGTGGTATTCTGATGAAACAATTCAAGAAACCCAAGAAGAATTGGACAAGTGTCCATTACCTGTTGGGTGGGATGTAGATATCCAAGAGGAGTTGGACAGGTGTCCATTATCTGTTGGGTTGTATTGTATCAGGAGATTCAAGAAACCCAAGAATTGGACAAGTGTCCAATGCCTGTTGGGTGGGATGTAGATATCCAAGAGGAGTTGGACGGATGTCCATTACCTGTTGGGTGGTATTCTGATGAAACAATTCAAGAAACCCAAGAAGAATTGGACAAGTGTCCATTACCTGTTGGGTGGGATGTAGATATCCAAGAAGAGTTGGACAGGTGTCCATTACATATTGGGTAGTATTCTTATAAGGAGATTCTCAAGAAACCCAAGAATTAGACAATTGTCCATTGCCTGTTGGGTGGGATGTAGATATCCAAGAGGAGTTGGACAGATGTCCATTACCTGTTGGGTGGTATTCTGATGAAACAATTCAAGAAACCCAAGAAGAATTGGACAAGTGTCCATTACCTGTTGGGTGGGATGTAGATATCCAAGAGGACAGGTGTCCATTACCTGTTGGGTTGTATTTTGATGAGGAGATTCAAGAAACCCAAATAGAATTAAACAATGTACACATGTTCAATTGTTCTTGGATAGTTTAATTCCTTTGTCAAAATACAACCCAACAGGTATTGGACACCTGTCCAATGCCTGTTGGATACCTTCTTTCTGTCCAACATGTAATGGGCATTTGCTTATTATTAATTGGTCATGACTCAAAAAGGTTTCTCCTTAAATACTTAATTTTGTTATTCAAGAAAGGTTGAACAGAGTCTGAAATGTGTTGAGTTGTGTTTTCACAATTCAGTTTTTTTTTTGCACTTAGGTATTCATATATTTTAATATTAGATATTTTGAAATATACAGGTGTATATCCTTATTGCTAAGAACAAATTAGTTAGGTGTTACAATAAAAGAGCTATATCACAGAAATTGACAAAAATATGGGTTTAAAACCAAAGGTTTTCAGTCTTGTCTGAATTTACCAGCAAATATTAAATATATAATAAATCTGAAATGAATAAAAAACAATAAGAAAAAAACCAATAAAATACAGACACGAGTATTAATATCCAATAAGATTTGAACAGTAACTACCCAAATAATGCTCTCTCGTGTGTACACTTTTTTTGTATCCAATAAGCAGTATCCAATAGGACTTGGACTTGATGTACCCAATATATAACCAGTAGTGTAGATATTAAATTGTTCAAATCATGACCCCTGGCGGTAGGGCAAGGACACAATAGAGGGTCGAAGTTTTACATAGAAATATGTAGGAAAAATCTTGGAAAATCTTCTTCTCAAGAACCACTGGGCCAGAAAAGCTGAAACTTATGTGAAAGCATCCTAGGGTAGTGTAGATATTAAATTGTTCAAATCATGACCCCCGGGGGAAGGGTGGGGCCACAATGGGGAATCAAAGTTTTACATAGAAATATATAGGAAAAATCTTGGAAAATCTTCTTCTCAAGAACCACTGGGCCAGAAAAGCTGAGACTTATGTGGAAGCATCCTGGGATAGTGTAGATTCTTAATTGTAAAAATCATGACCCCCGGGGGTATGGCGGGGCCACAATAGGGCATCCCAGTTTTACATAGAAATATGTAGGAACAAATCTTTAAAAATCTTCTTCTCAAGAACTACTGGGCCAGAAAAGCTGAAACTTATGTGAAAGCATCCTAGGGTAGTGTAGATATTAAATTGTTCAAATCATGACCCCTGGGGGAAGGGCGGGGCCACAATGGGGAATCAAAGTTTTACATAGAAATATATAGGAAAAATCTTGGAAAATCTTCTTCTCAAGAACTACTGGGCCAGAAAAGCTGAAACTTATGTGAAAGCATCCTAGGGTAGTGTAGATATTAAATTGTTCAAATCATGACCCCCGGGGGAAGGGCGGGGCCACAATGGGGAATCAAAGTTTTACATAGAAATATATAGGAAAAATCTTGGAAAATCTTCTTCTCAAGAACTACTGGGCCAGAAAAGCTGAGACTTATGTGGAAGCATCCTGGGATAGTGTAGAGTCTAAATTGTAAAAATCATGACCCCCGGGGGAAGGGTGGGGCCACAATGGGGAATCAAAGTTTTACATAGAAATATATTGGAAAAATCTTTGAAAATCTTCTTCTCAAGAACCACTGGGCCAGAAAAGTTGAAACTTATGTGGAAGCATTCTTGGGTAGTGTAGATTCTAAATTGTTCAAATCATGACCCCCGGGGAAAGAGCGGGGCCACAATGAGGAATCAAAGTTTTACATAAAAATATATAGGAAAAATCTTTGAAAATCTTCTTCTCAAGAACCACTGGGCCAGAAAAGCTGAGACTTATGTGGAAGCATCCTGGTATAGTGTAGATTCTAAATAAAATTATGACCCCCGGGGGAAGGGTGGGGCCACAATTGGTAATCAAAGTTTTACATAGAAATATATTGGAAAAATCTTTGAAAATCTTCTTCTCAAGAACCACCGGGCCAGAAAAGTTGAAACTTATGTGGAAGCATTCTTGGGTAATGTAGATTTTGAATTGTTCAAATCATGACCCCCAGGGGAAGGGTGGAGCCACAATGGGGGGATCAAAGTTTTACATAAAAATACATGTATATAGGAAAAATCTTTGAAAATCTTCTTCTCGAGAACCACTGGGCCAGAAAAGATGAAACTTATTTGCACATGGAAGGATCCTGGGGTAGTTGATTTCAAAATGTCTTAATTATGATCAGTGGGGTAGGGTGGGGATACATAATGTATTACAATGGGGAAATCTGGTAAAGAACAGAATGATCAAAGCTTCTCAGGTGAGCGATGTGGCCCATGGGCCTCTTGTTATGTGTACACAGAGCGTTTTTATTTGGTCATAACTAAACTTTAATTTCAGTTCTTTGTAAGTAGGATTTAGCCATTGTTCAATATGATACCATATATATGCAAGGTTGTTCTTAAGACCCAGGCCAGAGAATTTCCCTGCCTATAACAAACCCCACCCCTGTTATTCTGGAATTCCCATCATCTCAACCCCTCTGTTAAGGGAGGAACTCCAGACCCCAACCCTGCTATGGGATGAAGTGTTTATTTCAAAATGTTTGTTTTCACATTGAGTCATTGATAAATCTTAGGTCCTCTGTGTTGCAGTACTTCATGTCCCAAACAAATTATCAATAAGATACATGTAAATTACCAGTCTATAATGAGTTCATTTTTGTCTTGAATTGAGAAAGATTAATTGGATAGAAACATTGATATAAAGTTTGAGACTGTTTTTTGTTTCATTTCAGATTTGTGGTGGTTTTGCAGACACACTAACAAAGTGCTCACAGCTGATCAATGAGAATGTAGAACTAGATTTTCTGGATCTTAACTGTGGCTGTCCTATAGATCTGGTGTACAAGAAGGCAAGTACTTTTATTTTCTATGCAGGAAATATGGAAACTTTCCACTGGCATGGAACTTCATATATCACGTTTTCATCTGGTCTTGTACAAACTTTTATTAAAAAGTCAGGACGATTTTGTTGAAACAATAATTACTTCTTATAAAATTTATACAGCATGTGTATTACAAAAGGAATGTATTCTATTGAAATTGTGTTGCTCTGATTATTTTGTATTGTGTTTTTCTATGTTAATTCATTTTAAACTTAAACCCATGTATGTAAATACTGTAAACGTATTACATTTAGCGGTGTATTCTATTTAGCGATTTTAGCAGAAAGCAGAGTCCCCTAATTCAAGTACATCGCTAAATGTCTTGTATAATAACATTGATAATTAGCACATTCAGACAGCGCTAAATCAAATCTACTCTAACTTGTTGAAAATGGCATTTCCGCCAAATATCGTACACGCCAAATGTAATACATTTACAGTATGTTTGGTATAATGCATATGTAGGAAAAGGGCGTATTAAGTTTTTAGAACTTTTGCCTAGTCCCAATTGTAAAGTATATACAATAAAATATGTTCAAATCAAACAAACTGGGTGTAAATTTCCGCACACCCAGCTTAGGACAATGGGTAAATAACGCGGGGCATCAAAATGAATAGTTTCTCTATCACATCTATCACAAAAGCAAGTAATGTGATGTCACAATGCATTGTAGTATGTAATAAATCTATTCGATAGTTTGAGATACCACTGATTAACCTTGGGTTTGATAAGTAAATACCCTTGATTGAACCTGGATAACTTATAGTATTAATCATAGTATTCAAATACAGTCAAACCTCAAACCAAAGTCTAATAGGAGTTGATAATTTTATATAGAGTAAACATTTGCATACTAATTGTTGATTTGATATTTTTAGGGGGAAGGGTGTGCTTTGATTGGTCGACTTAACAAGTTTGAGCAGATTATCGCGGGGATGAGATCCGTACTGGACGTTCCACTGACCGTTAAAATGAGGACGGGAATATTTGACAACAAGAACATTGCCCACACAGTCATACCCAAACTGAGAGATTGGGGGGTCTCCATGGTAACAGTGAGTACTGGTCATATTTTGTTTTTATTCCATCCCAAGAAATGACTTTTTAAATGATAACAAGAGGAAAACTCTTATTTTTATTGTGGAGGTCTTAGAATTGTCATGTGAAACATACCTTTAAATATAAAATTTCTGCATTATTGTTGCATTAAAATTGATTTACATTCAGTGTATTATATACCAAAATTCACTCTCAGGCTGATAGTTGGGTAATGGATTTTTCACAAGCTTGAAAGTAAAGGTGGAAAAAATGTTTTAGTTTTGTCATTTCATTTTAGTCAACAGTATTACATGCCACTGTACATGTACCC